GTAACTGATATTTCCTCAGAATACTACAGTGGTGGTAATGGTATGGTTTTTTATCCAGTATTTTTAATGCTTGTTTATATAATGTTTCTAATGGTTTTATTGTAGTAGAGTGAGTATTGGACCAACTTATTAGACAATATGTTATATGGGATAAAATCATGGGAAAAAATATGATTTAGCAGCTTCAGTTGAAAGAAAATCTCTAATGAATCTGAAGTTTGCTAAAGTAAACTTAATCCTATTATGAAATCCTATCCTGGAAGATAAATCCAAATGTATTGTTAAAGTGCTGATTTTCTCTTCATGCATCTGTTCTGGATGGATACGTTACCGAATAAAATAGGGATGTCCCAATCCGATATTTATATCAGATCTTTACCAATATTAGCCAAAAAAAACTGATATTGGATTCTATCCGCCAGCATCTATAATCTCCCATTTTTTTCATGCTGATAGAAACACTCTGATTCTGCTAAAGCTATGATTGGTAACGTTGGAGAGCTAGGAAGATTTGAAAGCTGCACTCCCCTTTCCCTCCCCCCTCTGTTCAAAGCTACGGCCTCTTCTGCAAACATTAACACTTATCTCACAGCAGAACACAGCAAAGCAGAGGGGAGCCGACTCAGGCACTTCTTTCAATACGTTTTCCACTTAAACCTTAGTACCTCATGTCTCATTTACCTTGATGTAAACTATATTATTGTTGTAGCTTTCAAGTTAGCATAAGTTCAGTAATACTAAATTTACAAGTTTTGGTTTAGTGTGAAGGGGTGTTGTGGATGGCAATGGCCAAAGCTGATGAGCGTATATGCGACACAGATGAAGGGATCTGATTGGTTTTTCCGTTCTGAATGAATCACAGGTATTGGTCTGAGTTTTTACAGGCTTGCTGCCCCTTACAGAAGTCTGTTTGTTTTTTCCTTTGTTCCTTTTTTCTGAATATTTCACTCAATATATAAAAAAAAAAAAAAGGTTTTCTGAAGAGGATTAATAATCCAAAGTTTAACAGTTTCTGTAACTCATTGGGTTTTTTTCATGGGTAAATTGTATTCATACCTTTTGTTTGTCCCTGTTTTACTAACATTATTTGATGAAGCCTTTTCTTATATTCTACAGCATAAAATGAGTAATAAAAGCTGGTATAATTCGTGCCAATATAGTATCGGGTGAATATTGATATCAGCCAATGTTCTAAGCTGCGATATCGGCATGGTATGGGAAATAAAAGAGTTGTAACGGGACACCCCTAGAATAAAAACAATGTTTACTGAAAGCCATAGATGGGACTAGTTGCTAACAGCAGATAAATGAAAGCTGTTATTAAAGTAAAACATTAGTTTATAATATATTGACTCAGGGAAACTAAATGCTACACGGCAGACATTTTTAAGGTTTATTTTCATGTTTAGTTAAAAAAAATATAATATACAGTATTATGAACCTCGCATTGATGTGCGCATCAAAAATCCTGAATGATGTTCTGATGCAATGTGAGAAAGGTGTAGCTAAGTGATGAGACGTCTGGTTGGTGTCTGCAGGTTGGGATTCAGCGTGCTGGTTTACGGTTTGGGCAGCAAGAAGGCTCTGTTAGAAGACTTCCGAGTGTCTTATCTGTCTGATGAGGTCCACCTCGTCATCAACGGATTTTTCCCCTCCATCACCCTCAAATCGGTCCGTATTCAGAAAGGGAAGGAAAACGCACTAAATATGAACTCCTTGAAGTTTCCACTAAATAAGACAATTTGTTTGCTTTCTCGTCAGATATTAAATGCTCTGACCTGTGAGGTTCTGGAGCACCAGGGAACTTTCCGAACCCCCTCCGATCAGATCCAGTTCATCGCTCAGACCCTCAAAGACAGTAAGAGTGCATGTTAAACCCCCCCGGTAAGTTGGAATTGCCTGACGTTTCCCCCTCATGTCACCACAGGCCCAGATCTCCATGTGTACCTGCTGATCTATAACATAGATGGACCAATGCTGCGAGGGGAGAAGACCCAGAGTGCTCTGGGGCAGCTGGCATCCCTGCCCAACCTGCACCTGGTGGCCTCTATAGACCACATCAACGCTCCATTAGGTGGCAGCTTGGAGGACTCTGGTTATTACCCCTGATCTTGGTCACTGCTCTTCTTCACTAAGTGGTTCTTGTGATGTTTCCAGTGTGGGACCAGTTTAAGCAGAGCCAGTTTAACTGGCTGTGGTGGGAGTGTGTGACGTTCCAACCCTACACCGAGGAGACGTCTTATGAAAACTCGCTGCTGGTGCAGCAGACGGGCGCTCTGGCTCTGTCCTCCCTCACACACGTGCTGCGCAGCCTGACGCCCAATGCCAGGTAAGTCCTCCAGGCTGACAAACACCTCCTAAAATAAGTCTGGAAAATTATTTGAATACTTCCTCAGCGGTTCGGTGACGGAAGTTGACATTTACTCATCAGCAGCAAAAAAATGGGAGGTTCAGTTGCATTTGTGCTTTAATAAAAAATAAAGTACAGGAATTTAAGGTCGCCATCATATCCCTCCCCCTTTATAGTAGCAGAAGCCAAACCACACCACCGATATGGTGACTGCTTTTTCATTTGACAACCTTTCCAGTCAGCATTGGTGGAGCTCCTTTAAACTGTTTGGTTTCCTAGCAACAGGCTGATTATAATTTATTGAACACAATCGTATTTCAGGAGCTTAAAACAAATATGTGCAGCTGGTTTCCAATTGCATCTAATCTGACTGAAAACCTATTTAGGAACAAGTCATTGATCAAGAGTCTTCATGCAGCTTTAAGGTTGTCAGAGAGGATGAAATCAACACTTTTAAGCTCAATAGAAATCTTCTTCCCTCCACATGGATCCTATAGGCCTTCTGGAAGACGGGCTTTAGGGTCCAGGGTTGTAAATAAATCTTTTTACAGCAAATGTTATGGTCTGCCAAAAAAAAACATGAATTCCAAAAAAAAAGAAAAATCATGCAAAGAAAAATTACTACAAAGGAGAAAAAAGGCTGCAGTTACAGAAAACAAAGAGCTGCAAGGTGGAAACACCCTGCAAACAAAAACCCTCTGCAAATTCATAAATGCTGCTGCCAATTAAACAGAAAGTAGTAGAAGAGAAAAGCAGCAAACTAATGCTGCAAAATTGAAGAACTGGCCATTAAGGGGAGACGATCGCCAACTTATATGGGACTAGACCCCTAATTAAGGCATAGAACAGGATGCTGAGAGAGAATGATTAAAAAGAGCCAAAGGAAAACTTACGATTTCTTTCTTCCCTCCCAATGTCCTCTGGATGCATCTCGTTTATGCTTTCACAGCAAGTTTGGTCCTTAGACATTAATTTGTTGTAATGTCTTTGTTCTGCTCAGGCTGACACTCTATAACAGCGGTCTGCAAACTTTACAATCGCAGGAGCATTTTTTTACTTCAGTCCATCTAATAAGACTCTTTAAGAGCAGGAAGACATTACATGATCTTTTTAAAAAAAAGATAGATCTTATCTAATAAATATGTAACACAGATTTATCCTTTATAAAATAACCACAAATTCAAATTTTAGATTTTAGAATTAGGGAAAAAATTGTGAAAAGGGAATAAATACATTTTAATGGGTCACTGAAATTTCTGGAAAATTACCTACAGGGGAGAAAAAAAAAACATTTCCCCTCACTAAAAAGAACAAAAATATCCGTTATGCTTGGAGATTTATTTTACAATTTCAATGCAATTCATTTGAAAAGGGATAAAAATGCACCCAGCATTATTTGAAAAACATTTATCTTGGCCTTTATCGTTTTTTGAGCCATTGTTTAGTGTCTAAAGAGCCACAGGTTGCAGACCTCTGGTCTGTAGGCTGCAGCACAATAGATTTCCAAGACTGGAGCTGGAAACCCCTGATGGTTGAATCTTTGCCTGGTGGAAAGTTACAACTTGACATTGATGTCAAACACCGAAAAAACATCATTGCAGCATTTTTGGAAATCCATGGCTGAATCTCTCCCAGGAAACCTAAACCTAAGAGGAAGTGTACTATCTCTTCCAACAAGGGATGGGGCGGATACGCTGCCATTAATGAGACAGAAAGATTCAGTAATGAAAAATCAAATTCATTATTTTTTGTGCAGAAATCTGCCAATAAATTATTTGGTTTTCTGCCAGTTCATTCATTTTTGCCTCATCTTTAAACCCTGAACTAAAAAATAAAATGATAATTGTGATTGATAATGAGTGAGTTTGTTTTCCCTTCGTTTTTCAGGGGGATCTTCAAACTGTTGGTTAAATTCCAGCTGGAGAACAAAGACAACCCCTCGTACTCAGGTACGCACACTTTCCAAAACTGAATTACTTAATATCAATTTACTCGTTGGGTTAAACTTGCCACATCATGGTGACGAGGATGACGTTTTCTGTTCTGTATGCAGGCCTGTCCTTCCAAGACTTCTACCAGCGCTGTCGAGAGGCGTTCCTGGTGAACTCCGATCTCACGTTGAGGACTCAGCTGACAGAGTTCAGAGACCACAAACTGATCCGGACACGAAAGGTCCTTCGCTTTAGGGTTTCACCTCTTTGGAAAAACTCTGTTCAAGCCTCCATGTTTGTCCCTTTTTGTAACATCTGCCTTTTTTACTTCACATCAGGGGGCAGATGGAGTAGAGTACCTGATTGTTGCCGTGGAAACGGGAACGTTAATGGATTTCCTGGAGAATGAGGATGATGACTGAAAGGGTGATGATCTTTAACCCACTCCTGGTGAAAGGCATATAATGTGATATTTACATTATATTCTGATGTGCACATTTTGGGAGATTTCATCTGAGTCAGTAAAAGGAACAATGAGTTGAATTATTGCTGGATTTTTGTCTTTAATTTCAAAATAGCTTTACACATTGAATAAAACATCCATTCTTTTGTTCTTGCAAGGCGTGTTGGCATGCAGATAAACAACAGGAATAGTAAAGTAACTTAAAAGGGGTGGTAAACTGTGAGAATGAAGATAAAAAATAAGAAGTGGCAGTGAAATTAAATTAGAAACTATACATATATATATAAGCAAGAACCAGGAAACGATGTGGATTTTTTTTTTTTTTTTTAAGAGTCCTGAGATTAGAGTCAGATGTGGAAAGGTTAGAAAAGGAAAATTGTTCTTGGTGCATGCTGGAGATATTTTCAGTGTTGGATGTCTGCATTTTTCTGAGCTGACAAACTCTGATTGTCTCCTGAATCCAGTGTGAAGGTCTGCAGCCTGTTCTGTGTGGCTGTGTGCACAACCTGGAGCTCCTCTTCATCCAGGTCCCTCAACAGAAGCAGAACCGCATCGAGGACATGGGTCTGAAAGGAAAACATAAACTGGCATAAATCTTTCGGTTTTAAGTCTCACGAGGATGCTGCATGCAGGAGCTACCTTTCTCATCGTGGGTTTCTCCAAAGTTGATGGAGAAGAAAGAGACGAGAACTTATCTCTTGAGAGGGGCTTCATTCCCAACTCCTCTCTGATTTTGCTAACAGGGAAAGAAAAAAATATTTCAGAAACATCCCAGTCTGATCAAGTTAAACTGTCATTGGAGAAAAGTTCAAAGCCTACTTGGTCTCCTCCATATTGTAGTTAAGGGGGTCGTTCTCTGTGTCTGCATCTGGAAGGCCGTTGCTAGAAAGCGGGTTCTGGAAGCTGCCGGTGGGTGTGCTGACCTCATCACCTTGCACAAGAGCCAGGGCTAGCTCATCTTCGGTTACAACTGAACACACAAAGCACCAGGCGTGAGCAGCAAACCCACGCAGACACTGGAATTATTTAATCACTTTAAAGATGGAAATAAAATGTGAGAAATCTGGGAGGGGGGGACAGTGTAATTGTATTGGTATTGTAAATCTGTGAAACTAATAAAAGAAGTCATTTGTTGTGCCCACATGTGTGTAATTACATCTTAGCATAAAATCAGTTCTATGAAGGTCCCAGAGGTGCATTGGAGAACAGTCTTTAGAAAAAGCTACATCATAAAAGCATTATAGCTTGAAACATGGAGAGGGTGGCTTCATGCTGCGGGGAGGCTTTCCTTCAATGGATGGTCTGAGTGGGTATGAAGATGTATGGAGCTACAAACAGGACAATTAATCTAAGACTGAGTGAATTATTTAACTTCCAGCAGGATAATGACCTTACAACCAGACCTACAACGGCCTAGTTAAAGCCCAGACCAACATAAAATAAAAAAATATAAAGCAAAAACTTGAAAATTGCTGATAATAGTTGTTCTACAACCAGTCTGAGTTTCAACAATTCTGTGACATGTATAAAAAAAACAAAAACTAGATGTGGAAAGCTGGTGGAGATACAGCAGCTGTACACATCTATCCAAAAACAACAGGGAGATGAGAGAGGGCCTTCGCCCAAAAACAAGCCAACGTCACCTTGATTATCGAACTTCTGGAGCCGAGGCAGGCAGCGCAGCACGGTGAGCCGATAACGCGTGGGATCAGTTCCACAGCAGGGATTCTCAGCTAACCAGAGGACTCTGAGACGCGGCAGTGGGCGAAGATGGCAGAGCTCTGATAATGTAGGAATGGCGTTCCTCCTCAGGTAGAGTTCACTCAGATACAGGCAGCCGGCCAAGGGAGATAGAGATGAGATGTTGTTCACACTGTAGACAAATGGAGAAAACTGTAGTCTGGAAATCATACTAAACATTTCCACAGATGTGATGGGACAAGATGTTTTTTTTTTTTTTTATCAAGTACTTATTTTTAGAGCTGGATCTCACAAAATGCTGTTTTTTAAAAACGACACGTTGCTGTTGATGCATCAACAGCATGAGAGGCATTTTATAGAGCTGCTTGGCTATCTTTTATAAATACAATTACAGAAAGAACTTATGAGAGACTTCAACACAGACACAGCGTTTTAGTTTTGAAGCGTTCAGCCTTCATCAGATGACCCACAACCAAGAGGAAAACTGCTGTGGGTGGAAAACTGCAAGGATGACAGCGGTCACCTTTTAACTTTGAAGGTTGAAAAAATATGTACATTTCCGTTTTTAAAAGTTCCCCTCTGCATACTTCCAGCTCACAATACCTGTATAGTCTGCTTGGCTTGCAGAGTGGGATGGTACTCTGACAGTCCATAAAATGACCACAACGCATGAGCACACCCTCAGCTCATTGTGCCTTAGCTTACATGGACAATTAGGGTGTTTTTCTCAGATTTTCCCTCCACTTGATGAGTTTACAGCAGTTTCTAATGTTTAAAATCATTATAAAAATTTTTATAAATCTAAGAATCAAATTAATTTTGATTTGAACGATCTACTTTACAGAAATGACTTTAACAAACCAGCATGACATCAAACACAAGTTTGATCTCTATCAGTTTATCTTGTTCAGGGGTTCATGCAGAGCTTGAGTTTAGCTACCTGGCATTGCATCACTAAAGAAAAGGTTTAAGGTGAACCGACTCAATCTTGACCCACGTTGTCCATCAGATATAAAGTGATCTGGCTGAAAAATTTGATTTTGTTTTACTAAATGCAGAAAATGTTAAAGCTGAAAGCATCAAGAGGTATGGTCAAGAAAGAATATAAAACAAACTAAAAAAAGGTGATTCAGCTTTCAATCAGACTTTCTTTATTGTTCTGTTTCTATTAGCCTTCCAGGTGAGTTTAGGGAGGTTACAGAATATTATACATCTTCAAACTTCAACAATAAAACCTTTCTGCCAGCAAGATGATTGTCTAACAGAAATATTCTACACAGCAAAAATAAAAAGGTTAAATGATTTTAAAAGCTTACAGAGTTTTAAACTAGAATAATAAGATAATCATTCTAAATTGCACCATTTGACAAGTACTGGAATAAAACATAATTTTAGTGCAATCTAATGCCACAATGAAAGTGTTTATGCAAGTTTTACTTGAAAACATTTGCATTTTTTTCCTATCTATACAACTGGCTGGGTTGGGCTCTTTATAAGTCTGCTTGGATGTTATTTATTGGCAGGGCTATAAACCATAACAGCAAAGGCAAAAACTACCAAGTGGAATTTAATTTAGCACCAGACAAAGGAAAGCTGTATTTTAAAATAAGAGCAATCAGTTCCGTTAAGCCTCGTGTAAAGTCAGCAGAGGGAAATATAAGCTTATTTAGGATGATATTACAATACTATCTCTGACTCCAAAGCTCTGGGGAACAGAGAGGAAAATAAGAAAAGAGCTTTTAACTTTACCAACCTGAGAGTCAACACTTCAATGCTTGGCATCTGAGAGAAGATTGAAATCTGAAACATAAAAAATATGAATAATTCTGTATATACTTGTTTTTAAAAAGTGAATAAAATAATATTTTACAGAGAAATTGGCTTTGAATACTCACGTCAGTCAAGTTGCATCCCCTGCAAAACAATACGAACAGCAGCGTCAGCAAACATGAACACAGCTGTTCTTAACCAACAAGTCTAGTATCATGTAAACCAAAAAACAGATAAATTATCCATCTTAATTTGGAGATGTGATCGATTTTAGCTCTTACCAGCAATTTAGTTTCTTCACGCTTTCCAAGTCGGAGGCCTTAGCTTTAGCAAGCACAAGTTTCCGTGTTAGCTTCATGGTCTCTAACTACACAGCTTAACAATTAGGAATATATATAATTAAATCTGTATCAACAAACAACAAAGGCTGCATCCTGACAGCATCAGCGTACAAACAACATAACTCAGCTGCACGGTGAAAAGCTGGCGTCTTCAAGGTCAATGCGCATGCGCACATCTAACAACGCGTCCTTAGTTACGGCTAATTAAATAAATAATTGTGAGAAATTTTACTTTTTAAAATTTTATAAAATCCGTACACTAGTAGATACACACGTAACTATTAAATAATTCAATTTCTCGTATATATATTTATTAAAAAAACATTTATATGTATCGTTTGTGAAGAACTCAAAGTCCCATAATGCCTCAATAGAGAATGAGTAAACGGCGCATGCGCACTACGTTCTGCCTCTTTGGACCTCCGTCTCCACTGAAACGATGGTGAGCCTAGCTTGCTCCTTGCAAAATCCGAATCAATCTTACGATTCCTGAGCCTTAAGTTTTATTTTTCCCCCAATGAATGGTTTGTGTGATCAATGTTTGCCCGACTAGAGTGTTATTTTGTTCTTACGTTTGTTGTATCAAGATAAAAAATTATATTTAACAGAACCGTCAGCTCAAAAATGGCTGCCGCATTAGCTTTGCTAATGAAGCCGGTCAGACTAGCTACATTAGGTTTAGCGTTTGCTCAGTTCCATACGCTAGGAAATAATACAAGAACCTGTTGAAGTATCACATTCGTTTACGATTAAATTTTATAGTTTCTGACACATTTGGTGTGAACGTGTCTAAAATTAGTGCTTGAAGTGGGTATGGTTGAGTAGTTGGGAGGGGATTGAGGCTGTCGTAATTCTTTGTAACTTCTACAGGTTCCATTCGGTTTGCAGATGATTTTGTTTCTTTACCTTGCTGATATCAGTATTAAATATAAAGTACATTGAATTTTCTCAGAATAACGGCCATGATTGCAACATTAAGCTTTTGAGTGTATTAAGTTGTATAATCATTGCTGATGACATTGAGAATTGATATGTTCTTTTAATGGTCGCACTGTTAAACTGTCCCCAGGCCAAGCGCACCAAGAAGGTGGGGATTGTTGGTAAATATGGCACGCGTTATGGCGCGTCGCTGAGGAAGATGGTGAAGAAGATCGAAATCTCTCAGCATGCTAAATACACTTGCTCTTTCTGTGGCAAGGTAAGTGTTTGAGATAGTCGTGTCTGTACTAGAACTGGGAATTCCTCCATAATTGGTCCAATATGGAATAAGAGAGAAAGTGAGAGTGTATCCCTTGGAGAAGTTGAAAGCATTTTTAATCTCTTTATTTTCAGACCAAGATGAAGAGGAGGGCAGTTGGTATCTGGCACTGTGGGTCCTGCAGAAAGACTGTGGCTGGTGGCGCTTGGACGTACAAGTATGTTGTACTGTTTTTTATGTCCCTCAGCTTGTATATCTTTTAGAGTAATATAAAGAAACCTTTGAATATACAGACCTTTCTTTCAGATGGGTATTAAAATGTGGTTTGTGTGTTTCTTGGCCTTAGTTTATCTCCCTAAAGCATTTAGCCAATTTCTGTTATATCTCTAAAAGGTTTAGATCTGGCTTAGAGATTTTAATGGTTTCTCTTCATTGAGGGAGAAACTTTTAAAACCTATGTGAGCGAGTGCCTTGAGGACTTAAGTCAGGCATTGTTACTGCCTGATCATAGCAGTAGCACGATCTATACCATGAGCTCATTTGATCATGCACAAACAAATGCATCCAGGTTAAAGTCCGAAATTCATTTTTCTCCGCATTAAAAAAAGCATACTAAATTAAAATGTTATGGTTTATCTTTTTTGTTTTGTGTTCTGAGAAATAAATGTCATTAAATCCTTTTTTTTATCAATTATCTGTGCCATTCATGTCTCAGAAATTTGTTCCTTTGCGTCTTCTGGTGTAGGTACCAGGTCTGCATGGACCCTACGCATGACAGTGGCATTGCACTATAATTGGCTGAATGTTTCGTTGATGGCGTAGAACTTAGTGGTTGGTCTGGACAATGATTATAAAAAAACAAAACAAGATGCAGTGTCCATATTTTGAGTCATGAGCATCTGTAGCCGGGGTTTCCGCTGGTCATTAAAAATTATTAAATTATAATTTTTTAGAGTAAGGACTTAATTGGCATTTAAATGTATTAAATATGAATATCATGGCATTTAAAGTGCTTTATTAAAAATAAAAACATTTTTAAATACAATTTCTCCAGATATATCAGCCATAACTGGTTCCGCATGCTTGCACGCAACTGCTTCTGGTTGATTGTAAGCTGTATGTTTGGAAAAGAAGCTGTAGGCGTAAAAAAATCTAGAGAATTGGACAACGCAAATTTCAACAAAAGTGGCTGGAAAACGAGGAATTCGGGGCCTAGCTGCCGCCTGTTGACGGTTAAGATGGGAAATTGTTTCTTTTTTATTGAGTCATTGGTACTTGTTGACATAAGAATTCTTTCTAACAGCATTAAAAAGCATTACATTAATTATTCCTGTATAAACCCTGCTTGTTATTGTTTGTAATTAACGATTGTAGTGCTGGGCTCAGTAGCTAACAGGCTAGACTCTTTTAGCTCTGTTAGTTGCCCAAATTAAGCTACACCAATTAACTTCGTGTCAACAACAATCGTCCATTTTGTAGAAGTAGAGTAACTCTTTTTTTTCTTTATAATCTCAAAAGTCATTTTCAAAAAGAAGTTCCATTCGTCCCCCCAATCCCCTATATGTTATAAAGGGAAGTAATTACATTTTTTGTGTCATTATGTTAAATGGCAGAGCTCAGTCTGTCCTAGAGCACAGTACTTGGTTTCAAGATTGAGAATGATTTAATGTTTTTACTTTTGGCATGTTCAGGTCATCAAAGGAAATTATACATGAAGGCAAATATAGGTAAAAAGTTGAGATCCCAAAAGAGATTTGAATCTTATGAAACGAACCCAATACAGTTTCTTATAGTGCAGTTGTCAGGTCATCAGCAGGAGAATGTCCCTCAGCAGTTTTGGTTCCTTGATCAGCAGCTAAATTTTTTAACTTTGGTTTTATACACAACTGTTGTCCTTTTGAGTTCTGTGTTTGCATTTTGTTGTACCTTTATGGTTCATAGTGCATGTGCTTTAGTGCACTGCAGCAAGTGATCAAATAAATCAGTCCATAGTTTTAAGATGTATCTATAAGATGCAGCATATTAGCTTGAGGACTTTAGTATGACATTCCTGAATCTTAATAATTAATTGATCAGCAGAATTTGGTCGAGATAACATGTTAAACATCATGCAGCTTAGTTTTGTTTTTAATGGTAAATTTGAACTTGTTTAAAATCCATTAAAAATCATGAAGTCTCAAGAGAAATTAAATGTTATGACCAGTGTTGGGACTAATGTGTTAAGTAATGGGTTACCTTGCAATAACTACTAAAGTAACTAGTTTGTAAAAGGAAGTAAAGCAGATTTGTTATCCATCACTGTATACAACTGAGGACTTCAGTTTCCTGAAACAAGCGCAGTTCTGTATTAACACAGAACAGACAATGAGCCACTGATTCAATGATAGCGTTTCTACAGAACAAGCGATTCCTGGAGGCTAAATATTGCTGTGATTTGCCCTTAACAGCTGGAACAAATACTTCAGTTTATACCAATATATCACCTAAATCAAGCATAGCCTGTTGTAAAGTTATTTTCTAAGTCTAATGTTAAACCCTATTTTAAATCAACTGTTGCAAAAATAGAGCAATAAGTATTTATAAGCTAACCAGTCTAACCTTTGTTTGTATGGAATGGTCTTATTTAGACATCAGTTAAAAAAACAATACAGCTGTAGGAACAAAATGGAATTGGATCAAACTGGGGTGGTTAATGCCATCAGAATATTCGGATACACATGCTTATGTTACAATTACTGTTCCAAAAAAGTTAAAAACAAACCACTGGATTTTTTTTTTTTTTTTTTTTTTTTTTTTTTTTCCAAGCGTGAAGACATTTTGTTTTCAATTCAATTTTGAAATTTCGCTTCCCATCCAGGGAAGACTTTTCATGACAAAACGTCTTCAAATTTGGAATACAAAGTCCAGGATTTGTTTTTAACTTTTTGGAGTAACTGAGCTGGATGTCTGAGAATCTTCACCAGCTTGCAATTCATGTTTTTTTTTTTTTTTCCTAATCTGAACACATTTAATCGATTTTGAAATATTTTTCATTTAAATATAGGTGGTGTTTTTTTAAGAATAAGTAAATGAACTAGTAGGAGTAATCTGAATGCATTCCATGTTTTTGATATCTGTCTTTGTCTCTTGCAGCACAACGTCTGCTGTCACAGTCAAGTCAGCAATCAGGAGACTGAAGGAACTGAAGGACCTGTAAACCAGTGCACAGCTGGTGGATTTGGGACTTTTGTTTTCTATTTCAGCCCAACTGGACATCAATAAATAAAAAGTCTGGATTGGAGAGAATGTGTCTTTGTATATCTGTGTTCAAGCTGGCAACGTGAGCTTCATTCCAAGCGCTGCCTCACTTAGAAAGAAGAGCTGCCACCACCCACCGAGCAGAGTTAGTTTGGAAGGACGAGATGGTTTACGTCCAAACAAGGTCTAGATTTTGTTGAAAGGCGAAAAGCTGTAAATTTCAGATATTTTCAACAACGGTGGGACAAAACCAGACTGACCAAACAGCCCAATTTTCAACAACTATTTCTGGACCTTATTAAGACTATGAGGGACCAGATTTATCCTTAAAAAAACGTCTGAATGACGTCTGGTGTTTGGGGAGGTAACCTTGAGCTTGATCACCAATCTATGTAAACATAAAGGTTTTAAAGTAGAACAGTAATTCACACCACATCAGTTTAACTCCATATAGTTTAGTCTTTGATTTGATTCGGGGGTAAGGATATGAAATTCAGTAGAATTTGTTAATTTAAAATTTCACCGGAGAAGCTTTGATTTGATGGCGAAATAAACCCATTGGACACCTAGTAAAGGGAATTATAGGTTTCAGTATGAGAGGATGGTTTTAGCGATTGGACAGTGGACAAAATCATTTTTCTGGAGAGGATATGTTATACTAAAGGTGATAGGTGCAAGCTTTCAAATGACGTGGAACCAACAGAGAAATTGTGCTAAAAGTTTTCTTAGAAAAGAATCAGGTTTTAATTGAGGTTTAATATTGGTACTAAAGCTATTAATGCATAGGAGCTACGTAACTAAAGAATTAATACAGAACAATAGAAATTCAGCTTGATAAAATGGGATTTGTAAGTGACTATGCATTTACATGTAAATGTGCCAGAACTGGCTAACAGGCTATTTTGCCATGTGCCTAGATTAAGCACTGTTTGAGACCTACAAAAGTTTTCTGATTAAGGTTAAAATTGCTAAACTACAGTTTTTCAGGCAATGTAAAAACTATACAATCAATATAAACAAATAAGGAAACTACATGTAAATGGTTCATATTGATGGCAAAAGAAACAGGTGGTCCCAGGATGGGATTAGGAAGGTTCTTGCTGCATTGACAGATGTGATTATGAACCATATCTTTGTTTTTCAATTTGATTAAAAAATCACAGATGTTCAGACTGTCTGAGGAAGAGTTCCAGTCCCACGCAGCTCTAATAGCTGAAAACACACTCTGACAAAAGCACTTTTCTGGAAAGGGACAATACAATCTTTCCAATTCCCTCCTGTTGTTAAACCACATGTGGTGAAGAAGACAGGTTTGAGAAGCCCTGCTTGAATCTCTTAGATCAGGCATCCCCAAACTCGGTCCTCGAGGGCCGCCGTCCTGCAGGTTTTAGATGTTTCTCTACAGGACAGCGGCCCTCGAGGACCGAGTTTGGGGATGCCTGTCTTAGATGGTTCCATAAATCTCTGGAGGAGTAGCAAAATTATTTCAGCTTCTCGTGTTCCTGCCATGTATTTGCCAATAAATGAAAGATCAGCTGCAGGGTTGAGTGATTCTGGTGTGAAAAAGGAAGCAGCTTTCAGCTGCCCACTGGTTCCTAAAGAATGGGTGAAATGCAAAGGTTGTGCAGTGACTACAAAGGTGATGATGGAGTAAATAAACAGCTATTCTCAGGAAGTCACTATTGCCTATAAAACATTGGTTAATTACTTTTATAACACCTTTGTAATAACATTGTGCTATTATATCCAATGCTTGAAAGCAGAGGTCGGTTAACCTGCCACCATATAACATTTGCAGAGTTAACACTGATTAATTTAAAATAAACAGATCTGTCTCTGCATGAATATCTTCGCAATACCACAGCTTTAATCAGTATTAGGGACAGGCTTGCTGTCCATTTCTAAACAAAACCCGCAATTAAAAGTCAGAGTTAACTCTTAGTTAAAATCTTTTATGTATTTAGAATATTTCAAAATTAAACCGATATTTTCAGTTTGTCCCAAATGAGAAAATTGCTCTGATTTTATTCACACAGTTCAGTTACTGGTTGCAAAACGAAATACAGGTCCTTCTCAAAATATTAGCATATTGTGATGAATTTCATTATTTTCCATAATGTAATGATAAAACTTGAACATTCATATATTTTGGGAATTAAAAGTTCCCAAAAGGAATTTTGGGTTTTCATCAGCTGTATGCCAAAATCATCCATATTAAGACAATTAAAGACCTGAAATATTTCAGTTAGTGTGCAATTAATCTAAAATATATGAATGTTCAAGTTTTATCATTAGATTGTGGAAAATAATGAACTTCATTTTGAGAAGAGCTTTTAAATGGTGTGTGTGTGTGTGTGTGTGTGTGTGTGTGTGTGTGCGTGATATGTCCTGAAGAGGGCGCTGTCGGCCCCTGCTCCATCTGACTGACTCCTGGTGGATCAGCATGGCGGCCTCCAGTGTGTTCCGACCGGGCTTGTTGAACCACAGAGTAGCGATAGTGACCGGCGGAGGCACCGGGATCGGTAAAGCCATCTCTTCAGAGCTGCTGGAACTGGGTGAGACTGGTTCTGTTCGGATAAAATTGACTTTCTTACTTCTAAATCCTTAAATAGATTCCCTCATGTCGGGCTATGAACTCCAGCACAGATAGCCTGCATGTTTAGGTGATCATTGACAATATTGACATTCGTTAACAACCAAACTGAGCATGCGCAGTGCTTAACAGTCTGCAGTAGTGGAAGGACTTGTTGGCTCTGTTTGAAAATATGGGCTGCATCCTCCAAAGACGCGGTCTACCTAGACTGGATCCTTCGAAAAGTCCGTGAAAATAAGGAGATAGGAAGAGTTTTGGCTGTGAATTCAAACACTCTGGTAGGAGATTGTTTGGAAGGGGTGATGGAAAGTTTTTAAACATATTCAATGGACATGAATAAGACAAGTAGTAATAAAAGAGGAACATCCTTGTGGTTTCTCCTCTATGAATCCAGCATAACAAAGTTGTTCTGCACATCCTCTCTGTATGTGGTTGGTCTTTTCTTTTTGGTGGCTGATCTTTTGTAAAATAAAATGCAATGGTTATTTTTCTTTTTATGGAGCTCCTATGGGTTTGAGAGGCAAACCTGAAAGCTTTAAGAATTGAAACATTTGTGTTGGTTTAATTACTCCTAAATGCCAATGGGAGATTATTAAACTAGGCAGAGCAATAATTATTTAACTTGTGAGCAAAACATGAACTAAAACTGGGACTAAAAAAAGCAACAGTTAAAGAGAAAACAAACCACTGGATGTGATCCTTTTTAGTGTGAGAAATTGGGAATATGAAGTGAGAGTGTGTGAAGACACCGAGATGGGTGAGTCTCACTCCCAAAGGGTGAGAGTTGCCAGCCCTGTTATTCTGACCTAATGCTGCTTCTCTGTCTGCAGGCTGCAGTGTGGTGATCTCCAGCAGGAAGGCAGACAGGCTGGAGGCAGCAGCCCAGGAGATGAGAAAGAGGATCCCCACCAACAGCCCTGCAAATGTCACCCCAGTGCCCTGCAACATCCGCAGCGAGGATGAAGTGAGAGAACATGTTCAGGATGAATCTGCTCAGTCCATGAGGGCGCGCTTTGGTTGGACTGAGATATCTTTATGCTCTCTGTGGCAGGTGAAGGCTCTTGTGTCATCGGTGCTGAAGCAGTATGGCAGGATAGACTATCTGGTGAACAATGGAGGGGGTCAGTTCAGCAGCCCAGTGGAGAACATGACCTCCAAAGGCTGGAAAGCTGTGATAGACACCAACCTGACTGGTACCTTTTATTGCTGCAAGGAGGGTGAGTCAGACAGACACTAACAATAAATAATTAAACAGTTTAAATTTCTAATGCTATGGCTATAAATGGTTAAGATTTCTAAAAAGCATAATTTATATTGAGATCCCCTATAGCAGGGGTCTTCAACGTTTTCCAGGCCAAGGACCCCCAAACTGATGGTGAGATGGAGCAGGGGACCCCCTAATTATATATATTGTATGAAATTGTGTTATATCAAACTGGTCCTACAGTCACTTTATTACAGATGGAGTATTGTAACAAAAGTAATCCCTCCCTGGGATTATTAAAGTATTTCTCATTCTGATTCCTGGTTGATGGGACAGGTGTTGTGAATGAAACGGTGCCCAGCTTGAAAG